AAAGTTTCCAGCCATGTCTGAGAGGCAGCCGTGGGGCAGGGGCAGGCGAGGAGCGAGCTGTTCTGGGCCTGGCCTCTGTTGCTCTGGTTCGTTCCACAACCAGCTGCTCCAGGTCTGGTCACTGCCGCTCCCGGCCTAGTTGCTCTGGACTTGGCTGCTGTTGCTCCGGGCCTGGCCGCACCCGACCCGGCTGTTCTGGGCCCGGCTGCTCCAGGCCCAGCCGCTTCTGGCCTGGTCTCTCCCAGCCTGGCAGCTGCTGCTCCGGGCCTGGCCGCATCCGACCCGGCTGCTCCGGGCCTGGCCACTCCCAGCCTGGCAGCCGCTGCTCCGGGCCTGGCCGCACCAGACCCGGCTGCTCCAGGCCTGGCCACTCCCAGCCTGGCAGCTGCTGCTCCGGGCCTGTCCACACCTGACCCGGCTGCTCTGGGCCCGGCTGCCCCAGGCCCGGCCACTCCGAGTCTGGCCGCTCCCGGCCTGGATGCTCCTGGCTTGACTACTGCTGTTCTGGGCCTGGCTGCTCCCAACCCGGCTGCTCTGGGCCTGGCTTCTCCAGGCCCGGCCACTCTGGGTCTGGGTGTTCCTGGTCTGGCCACCCTGGGCTTGGCCGCCTTCGCCTCAGGCCTGGCTGCCACTGCCCCAGGTCTGGCTGCTCCAGTGCTGGCTGTTGATGCTCTGGTTCTGGCTGCTGCTGCTCTGGAGCCTGGCCGTTGCTTCTCCGGGCCCGGCTGCCACTGCCTTGTGCCTGGCCACTCTAGGCCTGGCCGCCGCTATTCCAACATTCTGTCTTTTTTTTTTTTTTTTTTTTTTAATGCATTTATGTTGCAATGTTGGCTGGTGAGTTGAGTTCTGACTTAGTCTTTGATTTTTCAAGATCTTCTTTGTATTCTTTCTTAAGTAATTTTACTATCTTTTGCTCTCACTTGATTTCTTCACATTGAGAACTTCTTTGGTTTCTTCCTCCTTGTCCTGGGAGCTCAGCAGGTTGGCCTGTGGCACCCCTTTGTTCTCCGCGGGCTCCTGCGCTACTTCAGCCTGTTGCCGGGTTGGCGCCGCCCAGGAAGCAGCCTCCAGCCTTGGCTCCGTTGCCCGCGCTCAGCTGTCGAAGGCTCAGGGGCACCCCCCATTGGGGGCCCCGTCGCCCGGCTCCTTGCTGGCGCCCAGCTGGCCGGCATCCGGCAGGGGCTCCTGCTCCCCGTCGCGTTCCTCCAGTCTGGAGCCTTCTTTCTCCTTCCGGCTAGGAGAGTCTAGGATTAGAGTCAACATTCTGTCCTCTGCATGCATTGTGCGCGTCTGCGCGCAGTGTGCGCGACTCTGGGGGCTCCGCTTTTCACCGCTCCCCTGGGATTCCGCCTCACTGCCCCGTCTCCCCCTGCCTAAGCATGGGTCCCCAGGGTCTGGCCTCGGACTGGGGTTCAGAGCAGTCGGAACTGGGGCCCAACATGGCCGGGGTTCCTGTTTCCTTCCCTCCAGGGAAATCCCACATCAGAGTCAACATTCCTTCCCTTGCAAGCAATGTGCGCGACTCCGGGGGCTCAGCCTTTCGCCGCTCTCCCAGGACTCCGCCTCACAGCCTGGTCTCCCTCTGCTTGAGCTTGGGTCCCCAGGGATTGGCCTAGAATTGGGGTTCAGAGCAGTCCGGACTGAGGCTCAGTGCCGCCGGAGGCTTTGTTTATTCCGGCTAGGGTAATCCAGCATCAGAGTCAACATTCAGTCCTCTGCGCGCAATGTGCGTGCGACTCCGGGGGCCCTGCTTTTCACTGCTCCCCTGGGATTCCGCCTCACTGCCCCATCTCCCCCTGCCGGAGTCTGGGTCCCCAGGGTCTGGCCCATAACTGGGGGTCAGCGCTGCCGGTTCGGGGGTTTAGCCCAGGCTGGGGGTTTTATTTCCTTCCTGCTAGGGAACGACAGGCAGCACCCAGTCCTCTCCTCCTCTCCGGCTGTGACCTCTCTGCGTGCGCATGTGTGCGGGCGCACAGCATGTCTCCGTACCTTGGGCTTTTTTTCAGCTTCTCTGACTTTCCTTCTGGTTTTCTCTTTCCTTCTTGTTGTAGAATTTTCAGTCAGTCGACTACCTGTAGCTCTGGGCAATGTCCACTCTACATTTTAGTTGTATTCCATTGAAATTGTTGTGTGCTGCTGTGGTTAGATGTCTACCCGAGCAGCCATCTTGGATCCTCTAATGTTCTTTATTATCCATAAATGAGTGAGGTCATGTGGTGTTTCTCTTTCATTGACTGGCTTATTTCACTCAGCATGATGTTCTCCAATTCCATCCAGGTTGCTGCAAATGATGAGAATTCCTCCTTTTTTATGGCAGCATAGTATTCCATTGTGTAGATGTACCATAGTTTTTTCATCCAATCATCTGCTGATGGGCACCTAGGCTGTTTCCAAATACTAGCTATTGTAGATTGTGCTGCTATGAACATAGGGGTGCATATATCCTTTCTGATTGGTGTTTCTAGTTTCTTGGGATATATTCCTAGGAGTGGGATTACTGGGTCAAATGGAAGTTCCATTTTCAGTTTTTTGAGGAAACTCCACACTGTTCTCCACAGTGGTTGCACCAGTCTGCATTCCCACCAGCAGTACACGAGGGTTCCATTTTCTCCGCAACCTCGAAAACACTTGTCGTTTGTTGATTTGTTGATGTTGGCTATTCTGACAGGTGTGAGATGGTACTGCATTGTTGTTTTGATTTGCATCTCTCATATAATTAGTGACTTTGAGCATGTTTTCATGTGCCTTTTGGCCTTCCTTCTGTCTTCTTTTGAAAATATTCTATTTAGGTCCATTGCCCATTTTTTAATTGGATCATTCATCTTCCTTTTATTTAGTTGTATAAAGTGTCTGTAGATGTTGGAGATTAAACCTTTATCAGTGGTAACATTTGCAAATATGTTCTCCCACACAGTGGGCTTTCTTGTTTTGTTGATGGTTTCTTTTCTTTTTTTCTTTCTTTTTTTTTAAATATATTTTATTGATTTTATACAGAGAGGAAGGGAGAGAGACAGAGAGTTAGAAACACCGATGAGAGAGAGTCATCAATCAGCTGCCTCTTGCACATCCCCCACTGGGGATATGTCTGCAACCAAGGTACATGCCCTTGACCGGAATCAAACCCGGGACCCTTCAGTCCCCAAGCCGACGCTCTATCCATTGAGCCAAACTGGTCTCGGCTGTTGATGGTTTCTTAAACTGATGAACCAAAAGATAGATATAGAGATAGTAAAGCAACAAGCAGACTGTCAAATTACAGCGAGGAGAGTATGGAGATCTGGGGGAGATAAGAGATCAACCAAAGGACTTGTATACATGCATATAAGTACAACCAATGGATGAAGAACTCTGGGGAGGGAGGGTGTGTATGGGAGGGGGGGCAATGTTAAAATATGTACACAGATAATAATTTAATTTAAAAAATGTAAAAATAAAATAAAAATAAATAGTGGTAGCAAAAACAAAACAAAACAAAACAAAACAAAACAAAAAAACATTATCAACTTTAAAATGAGCCTGCTGTATTTGGTCAAACGCTGAATTAACTCACCCTAATGCCTTGGCAGGGCCAGACCACATCATTTCCTGGGCCTCACACGGCCTGCAGGCAGGAGCCCCCACCCCTGAAGCAGCATCCTGTGAGGCAGGTAGAGGATGTAGCGATACAGACACAGTGTCTGCGCGCCTAGAGCAGGGTGCGTGCTGAGGCTGTTGGCAGTAGTCGTGCTGGATGACATAAGATGTGGCTTCAGAGGCCGACTGTGTGACATAACTTACCCAAATTCTTCCCCTGACCCCTTACAGTGAGGTCACACAGCTGCTCTGTTTTCCCTCTTTGTATATGCCAGGAACCCGAAGTTCAGAGGGAGCAGAGAACTCGGTCTCTAGGATGCGCTGACACTGGCCTGAGCACTCTTCAGTACCCCCTTAAGAGGGCGAGGCGTTTGCATAGCAATCTGGAAAATATTATGCTAAGTGAAGTAAGCCAAAGGGAGAAAGACAAATACACATGAGCTCACTTATTTGTGGAATCTAATGAACAACAGGAATTGGCCAGCAAAATTGGACCGGAGGAAGGGAAGCCTGGAGGCAGGGAAGCCTGGGACAGATGACATACCTCGATGTGGGGTTTGGGGACAAGAAGAGATAAACCACAAACTTACATGCTTAGCCCATGGCCATGGGCAATAGAGTGGTAAAGAGCTGGGGAGATGGCGGGGTTGGGAGGAGGGGGAAGGAGGAGAAAATAGGAGATGTCTGTAATACTATCAAAAATATATTTACAAACAAACAGTTAAATGGTCTTGAAGACCTAAAATTTTACTCTGTTGTTATTTGTGATTCTCAAGAATAAGATCTTAACTGAAGTTGTACAGACATCTGTTAGCTCACCTACATAATAATAATCAGACATCTGTTAGCTCACCTAAAATAAAAGAGGAATAATCTAATGTGTGTAAAGTTGGTAACCAGCACAAGAGAAACAAGGGCAGTTGTTTTTTTCTGTCTGACTTTATTCCTTTAAAAAAGAAGTGAAACAAGAGACGTTTCAAGGTCACTACCGTGTCCGGAGAGCCGCAGGAAACAGCTCTGCGATGGTCTCGGCCATGATGATCTCTTTTGGTCCCGTGTTTGCATCCTGCTGCTCTTTGGTCTCGGCGTGAGCAAAGGAAGACTATGTGAGAGAGAAAGTCTTTGTCTGGGGTGTGTCACAGAAGGAGGTCACTGCCAGCTCAGACTTTGGTTTCCTTTCTCCACGCAGAGAGCAGTTTAAGTACCTCAGTACTGCTTTGGTGTACTTAGTTGCCTATAGGTATAATTTATGTTGAAGCAAAAACAGTGTAGCATTTAGATCCTTGGGAAATACTCAAGGCTTGGATTACTAAATGTCATATTTAGGTGTTTGTGGGGTGAGAAAGAGAAGTCATTGAGTTAGAAATTGGTTCCTAAGTCTTAAGAGCATTCCTTTGCTAACGTTTCAAAAACGTTTTCCTCCACAGAAATTCCTACAACTCCTCAGACACCCACCACAATGGATGCTCAAGGTACCAAAGCCCCGTCAGCTCCTCCAAAACCCACCACAGTGAATGTTCCAGCTCCAAAGTCCCCGCCCACCCCTCCACATCTCACCACAGCAAACGTTCCAGACACAGAAGGCACACCAGCTCTTCAGAATCTCACTACAAGAAGTTCTTCAACTACAAAAGCCCTCCTAATTCCTCAGAACCCCACCTCACCTGTTCTAGCTATGGATGCCCCACCACCTTCTCAGAAACCCGTCACAGCCAGTGACTCAGCCACAACTGCCAACACATCTCCTCTCTCAAAGGCTCTATCTACAGAGCCCCAGCTAGCAGTCCAGACTCTCCTCCTGACAGATTCTCCTGCTACACGAGCCACACCAGAACCCCAGAGCCTCACAACAGCAAAAGCCTCACATGCACAGAGTCTTCCAGAAACACAAACATTCTCTACTGTACATGTCCCAGTGACTGAGGGTCCCCAGACAACCCAAAGATTGACCTCTGCTCATATTGCAGCAACACAGAATCAAACTGTTTTCACGCCACCTAGCACCTCTAGAGGAAGCGGACTCCTTACAGCAGGTGAGCTGACACTGCTCGGTTCCAGAGTCCACGTGGATCTATGTGTGATGGGGGGAAATGTCTACGTGACCAGGATTGTGTGGTTACATACTCTGGGATTTGTAGTCAGGGTTGTTTGCATTCTAACGTTTGGGACTTTCTTCAGAGGCAGAATTGGATTGTAGTGGGGCAAATCTTTTACAAAGGAAACATTTTTGCAATAATATAAAAAAGGGTGGCCCCATAAAAAACAATGCTGGGTTAAAGTTGGTGAAAAAATTCTGTTTTCTATATTAGCTTTAGGGAGTCATTGAATTTCTCAAGACTCTTCAAAAACCAAATATATGCCATCCTTGAAGTTGGTTTCTGGGTCTGGTTCATTGAGAGACCCATCCCTCTCGCACGCTGACAGATCCCTCCAGGTTCCCCAGAGCTGCCCCTCAGCAGTATCTAAGGAACTGAGACCACAGGGCTTGGGCCTAGCTCACATGAATGCAGGGCTCCGTGAGCAAAGGCGCTGGAAGGAGAGTGTGCTGTAGGCTAGACCTGCCTGTTGAGTGACCACATGAAGCCCATCTGCTAATCAATGCCTCTTTGGACCACAGGCTGTCTTCTTGCCCCACAGCTTGCTAAAGGACAGCCATTTTTATACGCATTCTCCTCCAGTAGGGATGCCTATTTTGTTCTATTTTATTTTATGTTGTTCCTTGGACAATCTCAATAGAACTGAGCCAGGAGATAAATTTAAAAAACATTACATTAACATTTTTATTGAGGTTAACACCCATGAAGAAATCATACATGTGTGGTTTAATAATTTTTAAAAAAATTAAATTTATTGAGGTGACATTGTTTAATAGGATCGTATAGGTTTCAGGTGAGGATTTCTGTTACATGATCTGTGTATTGCACTGTGTGCCCACCACCCAGTGTCAAATCACATCCCATCACCATATATCAGGCTCCCTTCACTCCACCCATACCCTTTGGTCTGGCAACCACCACACTGTGGTTTGTGTTCATGAGTATCAGATTTATATCCCACATCTGAGTGAAATCATACGGTTCTCAGTTTTCTCTGCCTGACTTATTTCACTTAGCACAATATTCTCAAGATTCATGCATGTCATCACAAATGGCAGTATTTCATTGTTTTTATGGCTGAGTAATTTTCCATTGTGTGTATGTACCACGTGTTCTTTATTCAATCTTTGACACATTGGCTATCTCTATGACTGTGAATAATATTGCAATAAATAAAGGATGCATACATGTTTTTGAGTTTCATATACACCAAGAGAAGGATTGCTGGGCCATATGGCAGCTCTAGTCTTAATTTTTTGAGGAACTGCCATGCTGTTTTCCATAGTATCTGTACTGTGTACATTCCCACCAGCAGTGAATGAGGGTCCCTTTTCTCCAGCACTTGTTATTACTTGTCTTATTGGTAATAGCCATTCTAACAGGTGTGAGGTGGCATCTCATTGTAATTTTGATTTGCATTTCTCTAATTGTTAGTGAGGTTGAACATATTTTCATATATCTGTTGGCTGTTGGTATGTTTTCTTGGAGGAAGTGTCCATTCAGATCCTCTGCCCATTTTTTATTGGGGTTTTTTGTTTGTTTGTTTGTTTGGTGTTGAGTTTTATGGTTTTTTTTAAATATATATCTTATATATTAAACCTTTACTGGAGTTATTGTTTGCAAATATCTTCCACTTAGTTGGATGCCTCTTTATTTTGTTGTCTTGTTTGTTTTGTTTTGTTTTTGTTGTTTTGTTTATTTGTTTGTTTGTTTTGCTGTGCAGAAGCTTTTTAGTCCAATTCATTTATTTTTACATTTACTTCCATAGCCTTTGGGGTCAAGTTCTTAAAATGTTCTCTATGACCAAGGTTTATAGTTTGGTACCTATGTTTGCTTCTATGTAATTTATTGCTTCAGATCTTATATTTAGGTATGTGATCCATTTTAAATAAATTTTTTAACATGGAGACAAACTATAATCCAGTTTCATTCATTTGCATGTGACTTCCAATTTTACCAGACCATTTATTAAAGATAGCAATGTATTAATTATTACAAATATATTTATTTGAAAGTAATTTTTGCAATGCCTCACTCATATTCATTGAAAAGTTTAAATAATAAGGTGATATAGTAATTTAAGTTTTGATAACGTCGGCTAAAAAAAACTTTAGTTTCTGATAGTTTCTTGATCATAGGATCAGATCAGTAGTTACTATTAAAGCTTTTAAACTTGTTTCTTATCATCAAATTATATAACCAAATTTACATGGTGTTTGTTTCAGTATTCAGTAACTCATGTTTACTGTTTATAATGTTAACTTGCTGAATAGAAATAGGGACTGGTGTGTATTTTGATTGTTCATAATTTGTAATTATTTTCATAAATTTATTTATAATTATTTATTTTAGTTATTAAAATCTGAGTTACTTTTGAACTTTCAAGTACAGTTTATATATATTAAATTTGTAGCAAATAGATGACTTTAGTGATTTTTTTAATTTCCTTCTTCTTTAGTGGTGACCATCACTGCATCTGGTAAGTCTGACTCCTTGACAGTTAAAAGAATTGTCATCGCTGTAGTTGGTACATCCCGTATTACTGGAAGAGAATGCTGTGTTATAACTGTGTTAAGTATACTGTTAAAAAGCTGTGTACAAGGATGCCAACGAGAAAACGGGTAAATGTATTTTATCATCCTGTTGTATGGACACCATTAAGTACTTGGTATGTTTCTAACTACTATTCCCAACCATGTTCTTGTTCCAAAGTTAAGAGCATTTCGAATCATCTGGCCAAGCAATCACATGGTGTTACATGCATATTGTTTTTAAGGCATCATTCTAGGGGCTGAAGAATGACAAGAAAAGATAGTTACTAACACAGATTCTATCCTCGAGTATTTTACAATTAATCAGAAATGACTTGTTGTTATTTTTAATCTTTATGGTTGAAAGTATTGCATATGTCCCCTACCCCACTCCACTGACCTGTAAGGAAGTACTTCTTGCCAAAACCGGTTTGGCTCAGTGGTAGAGTGTCAGTCTGTGGACTGAAAGGTCCCAGGTTTGATTCCAGTCAAGGGCATGTACCTTGGCTGCGGGCACATTCCCAATAGGGGGTGTGCAGGAGGCAGCTGATCGATGTCTCTCTCTCATCGATGTTTCTAACTCTCTATCCCTCTCCCTTTCTCTCTATAAAAAAATCAATAAAATATACTAAAAAAAGAAAGAAAGTATTTCTTGACCATTTCTAGACTTCTGTCCTACCCTCAAATAAAATGAAAAGTGCTACCTTTGACTACATGTTCTTTCTTTTCCCTTCCCTATCAGTGATTGAAAGCAAAATTATTTTTTTTTAAATATTCTGTTACTTTAGGCATGAGGCCAAAAACATCTGTGTGGCAATTTATTTTTGCATTTAGTCCAGTCCTTTATTTTATCCATAAATATATTATTTAATGTTATATATTATCAATAAGATTAATAAACTTCCAAAGAAGATGCTAAGAGAAATGTTGGTTAAGAAGCAATACAGTTAAATTTGCATATTGATAGGTAACATTAAATATAAAATACACTCTTGTAAAAAAGTTAATATTTTAAAATTATATCTTTATAATCTGCAGTCTTCTGTCTTATGTATGTATGAATTAGCCAAGGGACTATAAAGCTGAAAACAGGTATTGTGAAATTATTTTTTTAAAATAATTTATGATAATTTTTTAATATTTTGAATAAATGTCTCCTAAAGTTTAAAACTAAAAGATATGTTTTGAAAGATCCTGTCGGAATTCAATATATTTTATATTTTAAATAGAAATAAAATGTATAATAAATGAATATGTGATCATCATGATTTAATGTTGACAACAGTGATGTGTTTAATAGATGTGTTTTTCACCTGCTCAGTGTTGTTCAATAAAGATTTGAAATGCTTATTATTTTCTTTTGAAATTCCTAAAATATATATTATGTAATTTCCCAGAAAGCTTTTTTTAGGGTTAGTTGTAATTCTAAATTATCCTAAAAAAAAAAAAAAAAAAAAGAGGAATTTCTTCTTTTTTAAATCAGACATATAGTGATATTTTTATTTTGATCCTATATTTATAAAATATAAGCCTGAAAAAATTTATTTAGAGTGACATTTTTAAAAAATCATTATTTTTCTTACTTTTCATTTACAGTTGACATATAATATTATATTAGTTTCAGGTATACAGTAATTAGACATTATGTAACTTACTAAGTGATCACCTTGATAAATCTAGTACTCATCTGACAACAGACATATCATAGTTATCACAATATTATTGACTTTATTGAGTATTCTGTAACTACCAATTTTTACTTTTCAGTCACATCACCTTTTTATCCATTTCTCCAAACACCCCTCCTCCCATCGCAACTATCAAAATGTTCTCTGTATCTATGAGTCTGTTTCGGTTCTGCTTGTTCATTTGTTTGGTTTTTTAGATCCTATATATAAGTGAAATCATATGGCATCCGTCTTCCTTTGACTTGTTTCACTCAGCACAATGGCCAGATTTCATTCTTTTATATGGCTGAGTCATATTCCACTTCTTTAGTTGTTCCTCTATGGATTGACACTTAGTTTGCATGCACATCTTGGCTATTGTAAATAACGCTGTAATGAACACATGGATGTATATGTCTTTTTCACTTAGTGTTTTGGGTTTCTTCAGATAAATATTCAGACTTGGAATTACTGGGTCTTTCTTTGTTTATTTTTTGTTATATAGCCCATGTTTTAAAATCAATTTTGCCTAGTATAATTATTGTTACCCCAGCTTTTTTGTTTGCTTGTTTCCATTTTATAAAATATCTTTTTTCTATCCCTTTACTTTCAGTCTGTCTGCATTGTAAGGATCTTGTTTTGTTACCCATTCAGCCTTCATATGTCTTTTGATTAGAGCACTTAATCCATTTGCATTTAAAGTAATTGTTGATAAATATGTATTTATTGCCATTTTATTCTTTATACTTTCTATTTTTTTTCTTCTTAAAGAAAGCCCTTTAAGATTTCTTGTAATATGGGTTTGGTGGTGGGGAACTCCTTTAGCTTTTCTTGTTTGGAAAACTCATTATATATCCTTTTATTCTAAATGGTTACTTTGCTGAGTAGAGTAATCTTGTTGGTAGGTCCTTGCTTTTCATCACTTTGAATATTTCTTGTCAATATCTTCTGGCCTCAAAATTTCTGTAATCATTTGACAGTATCATAGGAGTGACTTTGTAGATAACTAACTGCTTTTCTCTTACTGCTTTTAAGATTCTCTTTGTTCCTAACCTGTACTAGAGGCCCAGTGTCCGAGATTGTGCACTGGTGGGAGGGGGTGTCCCTCAGCCTGACCTGCACCCTCTCACAGTTCAGGAACCCTTGGGGGACGTCCACCTTCTGGCTTAGGCCTGCTTCCCCTAGGAGTCCTTAGCGCTGCCACGGAGGCAGAAGAGGCTCCCACCACTGCCTCTGTGCTCACCAGCCATGAGCCCAGCTTCTGGCTGAGTGGAGCTCCCCTGTGGGAGCACACTGACCACTAGGGGGAAGCTCCTGCATTAAGCATTTTCCCTCTGGTGGTCAATGAGCATCATAGCGACTGGTCATTCGCTGTTTGGTCTATTTGCATATTAGGTTTTTATTATATAGAATAGTATTCCATTGTGTAAATGTACCACAGTTTTTTTACCCACTCATCTACTGATGGGCACTTGGGCTGTTTCTAGATATTAGCTATTGTAAGTAGTGCTGCTATGAACATAGGGATATATAGTCTTTCTGATTGGTGTTTCAGGATTCTTAGGGTATATTTCTAGCAGTGCGATCATTGGGTTAAAGAGGAGTTCCATTTTGAATTTTTTGAGAAAACTCCATACTGTTCTCCACAGTGGCTGCACCAGTCTGCATTCCCACCAGCAGGGCATGAGGGCTCCCTTTTATTGTGTCTTAATACCCGTCTACGCATGGCAAACTTAAATCCCATTATAAAGTGACTTCAATTATCTCCTTGTCATTCCAAGTTAAGAAGTCAGATAATCATATAACTTTTTAGTGATCTTTTTGGTCTGGAAAGGAAAGTGTGTGGATTTTTCTTAACATTTTTGAAGAAATACAGAAGCACAGAAAATCCAGCTCTGATAGTAAGATCCTGTAGATGTTGCTGAGGAAGGTGTGTTGAAACCTGACATAAATCTGAAAATTGAAGGTTTTCTCAAGCATATTCTTTTCTCTTCGGCAAAAGTCTCTTTCCAGTGTGACCTCACTTTTCCACAATTGCAATCTCTTTATTCTGCTGCATTACATGAGATCATAAGCAAGAACTGGATCTACCCACAACTTCCTTGTATTTTAGAGCATAAGGAATACGTTTCTGCTCTATTAGATGTAAGTGGGACCTTTTGAAGTGACTGGGTGCCCATATTTCTTCAGAAAAGGAGACAAGTATCATTTTGTTAACACAAGATCTTCTAAGTAGAATTCTGATTTGGATTTTTCAAAAATAAAGTCGATACGCTGTATATTGCCTCTGTTTGTTCATCTGCAGAAAATAATATCATTCAGTACAATTTAATAAATATTTATAATCGCTTTCTACTATTTTCCAAGCACTGTGCTAGCTATTAGAGCTGATCAAATGAGGTAACAGGTGGCAAACTGCTTTGCAACATTTTTTTTAATTTAATAAATCTTTATTGTTCAGATTATTACAATTGTTCCTCTTTTTTCCCTCCATAGCTCCCCTCCACCAGTTTCCTACCCCACCCACTGCCCTTACCGCCCCGACCCTGGTCTCATCCACAGTGTACGATTATTGTTCAATCTCTTCCTGCACCACCCACAGCCATTTCCCCCTGAATTATCAGTCCACTCCCATTCTATGCCCCTAATTCTATTATATTCACCAGTTAATATTGTTCATCAGATTTTTTATTTCCTTGGTTTTTAGATTCACTTGTTGATAGTTTCATATTTGTTGTTCATAATTTTTTAAGTAAATCTTTATTCTTCATATTATTATAAAAGTTCCTCATTTTTCCCCCTCCATCAGGTTCTCACCCCACCCTCTTCCCTTTTCCCACCCCCCATTGTCCTCATCCATAGATGCAGTTTATATTCAGTCTCTTCCTGCATTCCCCACACCTCTTTTCCCTGAGAATCGTCAGTCACTCCCCTTCCATACCTCTGATTCTATTATATTCAACAGTTAATATTGTTCATCAGGTTTTTTAATTCCCTTGGTATTTAGATTCACTTGTTGATAGTTACGTATTTGTTGTTCATAATTTTTATCTTTATTTTTTTCCTCTTCCTAAAGAACCCCCTTCAGCAATTCATATAATTCTGGTTTGGTGGTGATGAACTCTTTTAACTTTTTTATTTGTGAAGCTCTTTATCTGGCCTTCGATTCTGAGTGATAGCTTTGCTGGGTAGAGTATTTTTGGCTGTAGGTTCTTGCTATTCATCACCTTGAATATTTCTTGCCACTCCCGTCTGGCCTGCATGGTTTCTGTTGAGAAATCAGCTGACAATCGTATAGGTGCTCCTTTATAAGTAACTACCTGCTTTGCTCTTGCTGCTTTTAATATTCTCTCTTTGTCTTTTGCTCTTGGAATTTTAATTATGATTTGTCTTGGTGTGATCCTCTTTGGATTCCTTTTGTTTGGAGTTCTGTGCGCTTCCTGAACTTGTAAGTCTAATTCTTTCACCAGGTGGGGGAAGTTTTCTGTCATTATTTCTTTCTGTATGTTTTCGATATCTTGCTCTCTCTCATCATCTGGGACCCCCATAATTCTGATGTTGGTTCGCTTGAAGTTGTCCTAGAGGTTTCTTACATTATCTTCAATTTTCTGGGTTCTCTTGCCTTCTTGCTTCTGTGGAGGAGTGTCTTCTGGCTCTTTATGTTCCAAATCTTTGACTTGATTCTTGCGATCTTCTCCATTCTGTTTTTAGGACTCTGTATAATATTTTTTTATTTCAGACAATGTATTCTTTATTTCTTGTTGATCCCTTATCATTTCTTGTTGATTCCTTATTAATTCTAGTTGATCCCTTTTTATATCCTCATAGGTCTTATCGACCTTTTCTAGGAAATTCTTGAAAAACCTTATAAGCGTAGATTTGAACTCTATATCCAGTTGCTTTTTGTCCTCCATTTCTTTCGTTTGTGATCTGTTTCCTTGTCTCAGCATTTTTGCTGCTTCCCTGAGTTGGTAGGGTAGCTTTGTGTGTTAAGGTGTCCTATATGGTTGTGGGTCAGCCTTCCAGTAATCTGAGGTGGACACTCTTGGTGCACCCCTTTGTGGACTGTGTGTACAGCCTTTGTAATTAGGTCTTGTTGTTGGTATCACTGGGAGGATACCAGGCCAATTGGCTGTGAGAATCAGCTGTGTCTATGCACAAAAGCCTCTGTGCTCAGCTTGGATGGGGCGGAGTTTCAGGGTGGAGCCTACAGCCTTGGCTTCCTGTCATCCCCGCCCTATGAGGTTCCTGAGTCTCAGTGTTCCTCAGTGTCCTTTGGTACTCAGTGCTTTGGTACTTGCTGCAAGCACCTCTGAGAGAAAGGTGCCCTCGAGTTTTGCCCACTACCAGACAGTCTAGTCCAGGGGTCTGCATCCTTTAAGACATAAAGAGCCACTTGGACCCGTTTCCGAAGGAAAAAAAAACCTGGGAGCCGCAAAACCATTGCGACATTTAAAACAAATATAACACTGCATATATTGTTTCTTACCTTAATGCTATATACCGGATCGTGCAGTTAGCTGTCAATCTGAAGAAAAAAAGGACTTTTTCATTTAACAATGTAAAATATATTTTTGCAAATTAATAGCTAATTAAAATATTTAATTTACCTGGTTAATGGGATTTTTGCTCCTGAACCTCAGTGCACAGTGTCAGCACATCAGGGCTGCAAGTTGTCAGAGCCGCGGTAAAGCTTCAAAAGAGCCGCATGTGGCTCTGGAGCCGTAGGTTGCCGACACCTGGTCTAGTCTCTCCCCCAATGAGCCTGGAACTGGGGTTCAGTGCAGTTGGAAGTGGGGTTCAGTACAGTCTGGAGCTTTTGTCTCCTTCCTGCTAGGGCAATCCAGTGGCACAGCCAACAGTCAGTCCTCTGCGCACAAAGTGCGTGACTCCGGGCACTGCCTTTTGCCGCTCCCGAGTTTCCGCCTTACAGTCTAGAATCCCTCTGTATGAGCCTGGGACCCCAGGGTCTCACCCAGAACTTGGGTTTAGTGCAGTTGGAACTGGGGTTCAGCACAGTCCAGAGCTTTTATCTCCTTCCCGCTAGGGAACGCCAGCAGGCACTCAGCCTCCCCTTCCTCTCCAGCTCCGTCCTCTCCCCATGTGCACACCGTGTCTCCATACCTTAAGCTTTTACAGCTCCTCTGATTTTCCTTCTGGTTTTCTCTTTCCTTCTAGTCGTAGAATTTCCAGTCAGTCAACTTTCCTGTAGTTCTGGATAATGTCCACTTTATATTTTAGTTGTATTTTTTGAAATTGTTGTGTGAGGCTACAGTTAGGCATTTACCTATGCCGCCATCTTGGTTTCTCCTGTTCATAATTTTTATCTTTATCTTCTTCCTCTTCTTAAAGAATACCTTTCAACATTTCATATAATTCTGGTTTGGCAGTGGTGAACTCCTTTAGCTTTTTTTTATTTGTGAAGCTCTTTATCTGGTCTTCAATTCTGAGTGATAGCTTTGCTGGGTAGAGTATTCTTGGCTGTAGGTTCTTGCTATTCATCACTTTGAATATTTCTTGCCACTCTCTCTAGCCTGCATGGTTTCTGTTGAGAAATCAGCTGAAAATCATATGGGTGCTCTCTTATAGGTAACTAATTGTTTTTCTCTTGCTGTTTTTAATATTCTCTCTTTGTCTTTTGCTCTTGGAATTTTAATTATGATGTGTCTTGGTGTGGTTCTCTTTTGATTTCTTTTGTTTGGGGTTCTGTGTGCTTCCTGTACTTGTAAGTCTATTTTTTTGTTTGTTTGTTTTGTTTTCACCAGGTGGGGGAAATTTTCTGTCACTATTTCTTCAAATAGGTTTTCAGTATCTTGCTCTCTCTCTTCTTCTAGGATCCCCATAATTCTGATGTTGGTATGCTTGAAGTTGTCCCAGAGGCTTCTTATACTATCTTCAACTTTTTGTATTCTATTTGCTTTTTACTTTTCAGGAGGAGTGTTTTTTGCTTCTTGGTATTCCAAATTTTTTACTTGATTCTTGCAATCCTCTAGTCTGCTTTTAGGTCTCTGTATAATATTTATTTCAGTCAGTGTACGCTTAATTTCTAGTTGATCCTTTTTCATATCCTCAAGTACCTCATTTAATTTATCGGCCTTTTCTAGGAAATGCTTGAAAAACCTTATAACTGTGGTTTTGAACTCTATATTCAGTCTTTTGCTTTTCTCCATTTCCTTCAATTGAGGCCTGCCTCTTTTTCTCCACATTTTAGCAGCTTCCCTGAGTTGATGGAGTAGCTTTGTGTGCTATGTGTCTGAGCAGGACCCAGTAGCTCAGCCTCCCCAGTTACTTATGGTGCACCCTCTTGGTGCACCCCTTTGTGGGCTGTGTGTGCAGTTTTGTTGTAGTTAAGCCTTGATTGATTTGCAACATTTAAACAGTGTAAAAATATTTCTACATCCAGGAACATTACTAAACACTACCTTTTCTTGGAGAAAATCATTTTTAAAGTTAGGTAATTTTCCTACCTTGGAGCTCTTCAATTAATGACTAGGAGCACTGGAATCACAATCATAAGTTTATTAATAATCCATAGTTTCATTTATCACAAGTGGCATAAATATTAAATTGATTCTGATTCACCTTTTGGATAGTTTTCTGTGGGTACCAAGTGGATTTTAACATCATAAATTATTGACATTGTACTTTAAATTCTTTTCCTTCTTTCTAATTTATGAGATAATACTCCATTGTCAATTTATGAACAATCATTTATGTAGATTTGTTTCTCAAACTTCTGTATTTTGCTCTGGTTTTTTGTTAAGCCATCAACCTTCACATAGTTTCTTCTAGAATTACATATATGTACTAATTCGAGTTCTAGAAATAGGCTTTTACTTTCATCATCGAGCTATTTTGGATCACTTTAAATTTCTATATTCATTTATCATTCAAATTGAAAATGGAGGTTTTTGCTGCCTTTGAAAATAATGAGATTAATGAAATGTGATGAATTGGGGGTGGGAGGAGAAAACAAAACCTTGAAAAATGTTGAGAAGCCATGATTTATTTTATGAAAATGATATGGTATAGGATATAAGTTAAAGAAATTGGGTGAAGTATTATAAAAACTTCTCTGTGGTGGAAATAGCTTGGTTGGTTTTTGTTTTTTTTTTAATCATTTGTCCACATGGTAGTGCAATTGTGTGATATTTACATAGTGCTGATTTGGTACCAGATACACTCATTAGACACATTAGCTTCAATTTGCTTTTCGAGTATCTACTTTCCTTTGTAGTCCAGATCAGAAGAGTAGAGTTCAAGGACATTGGAGGGTGGAGTGGGGAGGAAATGTATATATGAAAGATTAATGGTCAAATCATTGAAAATTAAACATTATGGGATTTAATACTTAATAATCTTCTTAAACCTATCAAACTAATTTTATTTCATCATTATAATACTTTATTTGTAATTCTTTATTTCATTTTTCTTTGAAATAAAACAGAACAAAGGGTAAATAATATGCAATTTTTACTCTTAAACTTATAACATATAGAAACCATATGCAAAAACATAATTTCTTTCTTCTATATTTTGTTTAATTTGCCTCTCATACTATTGCCTCACAATGTCCTTATGAAATTATACTGTATATATAATTGCTTATGTGACTATTAACTGTGTATCGTGTTTTCCCCTCTCAAGGACTTACTGTTGGTGCTGTAATAATTTTTATTATAATTATAAACAAAAAATTTGGAAGATCAAGGTGAGCAGAAATTCTGATAACTTAAAACATTTGCTCTTAGCTTCTTTCTGGTAAAACTTGATATTTTATCATGAATAGATAATTTTCCTCATTTAATTGTCTTTTTGGACATGCTATCTCTTTATTCCTTTTGTCTGTAATGACTACCTTGCATAAACAGGCTTTGTGTCTTTTTTTTTTTAATTTTCAATATATTTTAAAACATTAACAACATTTCAAAGGAAAGTGATTTGAAAGCCACAGTCTCACTTTGCAGTCTATTAACCAATTGCCTTTCCCTTAGTACAACTTATGGAAGCATACTAGCATCTGTTTTGCACAAAACCAAAGAATTCTAGGGGAGGATGCCAGCCTCTAACAGCACTAAATGACCTGTAATTAGGCCTGTCTTCGAGTTGCATTTATTGCTGCATCTGGTCCAGCCCAAGATGACGGGCTCTGGCATCTGCCTGCATGGTTCCATCCTGTGTCTACTGTCCATGTGCCATGTCACCATGAGCAACTCCACCTCTCTGTGCCTCAGCTTTCCCATCTGTAAAATGGGGGAAATGGAGAGCCTTCCTTATGGGACTGTGGTAAGGATCAAATCAGTTGCCACCTGTAAAGAAGTTAGAGCATCGCTTGGCACAGAGGAGGCCTTCTGTGGTAAAATAGTAACACTAGGGGGGAAACCCACAGTCTGATCCGAAACATTTGACCTGCCCAGAACATTCATATGTTAAGTGCATTGTCATGGTTGGCTCTGGCATGTTCTGCAGACAGAGGAGTACTTACATTGACTTCTTCTGGCCTCTGGGTGGAGGAAACAGCATGTGCAAAGGCCTGTCTGAGAAACAGAAGTTTTTATTTCTTTAATCCTTATAAACCCGCATGATACCTTAAAAACATAAACACAAATACATAAATTGACTCTCTTCTGTTATCTTGCAGATTTTATTGTTCAGAAAACTAATTATGGAGTTCATATAAACTCTTGAGTCATTTCCACACTTCCCTAAGGCCTTCATTTCATTCATTCATTAAGAACAACTATATTTACGCTGTTACTAAATTGCCTGTCTTCATTCTTTGGCAGATGTGACTATCTGCTTTTAGCCCCATTTAATGCTTTCCTTTCTCCTTAAATTAACAAATATCGCTAAGTAGTAGAGTTAAGCCTATTATAAGCTAAAGCAAAAGTATGAATGTTCTTTAAATCACTAAATGGTTCAGTATTTTAGCCAAATATGGCTTGAGGCCATATTACTACATGTAGGAAAATATAACTTTCTCTTCAAGATTTTCAGGAACTTTTAAGAATGGGCTGTAAAGCCCAGCCAAACACAAGTCTAAGTCATTAGCATGAGCTGATACGGAGGCCCCAGCAGAACTGCTCTGAAAACAGCAAACCAGCTGCCTCATGCTCTGCCTTCCATTTGTCCCACCTCTTCGTTGTCATTTACCTTCCAAGGCCAGTGCTGGGGACTCCGCAGGCAGGAGAGGTGGAAAGCGGTGAGCGTACAGGTTGCTCTAGCTCTCAGCTGCCCTCTGTTTCTTTACTTTGGCAGGGCAATTGGCCATGATGTTTTTGATAGGATGGCATGTGTTGAACCATAGAAGGAGGGAATGTTTGTTTCCCTCATTCCTCTATTTCCGAATAAGAGGAAATTCAGGCATAAACCCCTAAGAAAGAATTTGCCTTTTTTTTTTAATGTGCCCTTTAATAACACTCCACTTGCCTTAATTGAGAAGTGAAAGCTGTTGAGAGTAACAGCTAACTTTATTCATCCCGGTTATCCTCCTAATTCATATCACTTTTAACACTTTTGTATCAATGTAATTAAAACTTTGATCTTAATGAGGACAGGGCAAAGAGTTCATGAGTCTGGAGGTGATAGTGTACCTACCCCTGATGGTCCTTGTGTTTGCCATGAAAGGATTTACCTCTTTTTGAAGTGTGGGGTTAGTACGATACTTTTGAGCTCATAAAAAGGATGTGGCTGTAAGCAACTGTGAAACTACTTTTTGATTCAGGTTAGAGTTATATAATTCAATTAGTGTTTTTCCTCTCTACCATTCAGCTCTTATTACCTCCATGAGAACAGCAAAGCACTCAATGTTATGTTTCATGATTTCACAGAGACTGATGCCTCAGAAGTATGTCCTGGTAAATGACAAAAGGTATATAGTTCTACAAAATCACATTTCTTGTAAAATGTCCAATCAGTACTGTTGGCTCAGGGTTTGTCTGGTACTAATCAAAGATAATAGAGGCTTCAACCTCTATTATTGTTAGACCTCCTTCTCTTTTTGTGAATGATTGACTCGCATTGATCACTCATTACTATGATATGTCATCAGTTCTTAACACTTCAGCAATACGCGCATCATCTCATTCTGTTTGCACTCAGTTTATTGTAATGATTAGATGCTAGCAATGACATAAATATTTGGGGGAGAGGAAATAAAAGGTCGATACATTAGGCCTACAAATAAGAATGCCTTTATTCTAACTATTTGCATCATGAGATGATGGGCTTATATTGTATTCTTTTCTCTTTTTTGCTTGGTGGCTTTCAGAGTTTCCAGTGTTTAGGAAATATTAAAATTTGGTGTACAGTATATTTTATAAGTCCTGTTTATGGATCTGATAAGATAGCTCTTTTATGTTGTCATGAAAAATTGTTACACAAAAATAACTTCACATTAACGTATCTGTGAAACTTTCTAGGTGTCTTCTTTTTGGACAAAACTTTCCATTATTTTACATGTAGTAGTCAAGGGGTTCTCATTGAGTTTTAACCTGAAAATATCTTCATTGATTCTACCTCGACCACTTAATCTCAAAAACTATTTTAGTTGGTGTTGACCATAGTTACTATACACTAGCTCCACAGTGGCTGAGGTTGTCTATTCTGTATAACTTACTAATTTTGCATTGTTTGATACCCCAAATTCTCCATTGTTTATCGTATCATAACTTAACATTTCATGTTTAACACCAATAAGTAAAATTACTTTGATTTTAACTTTTTATTTTTAACTTTCAGGAAACACATTTATGACATTGACAGTTTTGCTTATGATGCTGGTAGCCATTGGCTACATGACTTAGCCAAAGAAGAGATAAGAAGAAAGTGCATACAAGTACACAGAATATCCTAGTTTTTATGAGTTTCTGGAAGCACAGACACAATCTATGCAGCGGTGCTCTTCATCTTGCACGTTATCAGTGTCTTTAAGGTGTGCAACAATGTCAATAAAGCAAGAAGAAACTAATCTGTCCTAGAATTGCATTCTCAACATTTCCAAGCCTCTTGAAAATAGAACAACTCACAGACTGAGAGTGATTATGTGTCTAAAAGTGTAGGTATTTGTGAGCATGAAGAAAAGGAATGTGGACACCAAAGAAAGGGTGTCACTACCATCACTACTAGCCCCTTGGAAAGGTCCAGAAAATGTAACTAAGACCTGGTCCATAGAAAAAGAAATGGATAGCCAGTATGAAATGGAATTGCCATAGCCTAGAACAAAGACTATCCTTACATGATATTACTCTACAATGTCATTAAAATTTTTCTCAGATTTGTGTTACCTTAGTTACTTATAATAGTACCCTGAACCCTTGAGGATCAATAAAAAAATCAACTTTTGGTGCTTGGAGACAAAGGTAACACATCTCTTAATATTCTAAAATTACAAAAGCATGCCAAAACCTGTTTGGCTCAATGGATAAAATTACAAAAGCATAATATACAATTATCCCAAGCAAACTTACAAACCAGTTCTTTGAATGTCTGGCAGCAATTTAAATATGACATGAAAGGACTTAATCCCTTCCATTGTGTAGAGGGCCCCCTGGGAAGGCACCTGAACATTCTATATTGGCCCCTCTTGCTCTTTTGGCCAAGAGGGACCTTCTTCTCACAATTTAATTGCCCACAGCTGCTGCCTGAGCTTTCTGTTCATATCGAAGTTGAAGCCCCATAATGACTGGTACCATGGATCTGTCTCTCACCAGTGGGGCGAGCTGGGCCCTCCCTGGAGAAGAATCCTGGGTTCCCCAAAATATGTGATCAGTATTGGGGCCCCGCCAGTAGGCGTGGGAATCCTAAGGCAGGAGCTGGATGTGGAGGCCACTGGGGCATAGGATACCAAGGAGACAGAACTGAACCTCACATCACCCTGTTTGGTCCCAGAGGATGGCCCGTTAGCCAGTGTCGGGTAAGATTCCTCAGAGAAGGAACAACCTAAGACAGGCACAGTCACAGAGGGGCCATCAGGAGAGAACTTGGGGGTCAACTGAGGTGGGGCACAGACCCTCACCCCCAAAACTTTCAGGAGCCTGACACCTCACCCCTGCTGAGGGAGTCTCCTGTCCCCATGGCTGCTTAACTTCCCATGCCCAGCTCAAATCGGAACCCGGGTAAAAGACAGAGACTTGGCTGACAGCAGCCGCCCTCGCACTACAACAAGACTTGTTTCAGTTGTCTTGTAAACATGCTGTGGGAAAGTGGGTTTTTGATATATAAATCCAGCCTATCACCAGAAATGTTCAGGGCCTACTCAAGAAGGCAAATAATCCTTTCCCCTAATATTTACATGGTAAAATAAGATTGTTTTAGAGTAATAAATTTGACAGTAAAATAGTAGACCAGTTTTCAGGCTAATTTAAATTGGCTAATTGAAATAAGCTAATATCCTTAAGAAAAAAGAAAAAAAAAGTATTGCACTTGACAAAAAGCTGTTCCTAAAGTGTTAACTAAAATTTTTATTGGTAGTTTATCTCAGGATAAAATTTCACAATAGGAAATGAACCTAAAGCAGTCATATTATAGTGCAAACAATTAAAATTTAAAAGCTATCAAGATTACATTATAACATTTTCAAAAGCATCCTAATATTTAAATCAAAAAAGGGGGAAAGTAGAAGAATATCATGTAAAGAAAAATATCCTGAAAGTAAATTACATCTATAAAATCTGTACTTTAGAAAATTAATTGTAATGCTATCATCAAGACACCCATGAAAACACACATGGTGTCAAAACAAGCCAGAGGAAAATCATTTGGGCAAAAATTGAAAAAGGATCCCAAGTCAAATTTATAGAAAATATTCCTTTATTAACTTTTGGTCGAGAATATGTTTGTATATTTTCAGAAAACAACTCTGAGACCATGTGGATTCTAGCAACAGAGAGGAATTGACAGGACTACTCCAACCATGAAGACAGAAGAGAAGCAGTCCAGAGATGGAAGTTGCAGGTGACGCCTTACCATAATAGCAGTCAGCAGCTGTATAAAGCTCAGGCAGCAGCTGTGGGCAATTAAATTGTATCACTGCAGGTTGCCCAGGAAGAAACCAGAGAGGGTTGGACCTGCTTTACCACCATTTGCCCACCATCCAGAACTGAAATATCATTGCTGACATGTACACATAAGGAACTGTTTGACATTGAAACTGGGTCTCAAAAGAACTGGTGGCCCAGAAAGAAGCCCACTACAGACTAATTCATAACGATTATTGCTTGCCTTATTTTTTATTCTTATATTTCCAGTAGGACATGATCTCACTCATCTGGGGGAAATGGTAAACAACATAGACTGATGAACAAGAACAGACCCAGAGATAAGGAGCCATGGGTCAGACTGTTGGACCTCAAAGGGAGGGTGGGGATAAAAGGGAGAGATCAACCAAAGGACTTATGGCACACATATGAGCCTAACCAGTGGTCAAGGACAGTCGGGGGCTGGGGGATTAGAATGGGGGGTTGAGGACAAATATGTGATACCTTAATCAATAAAGACATTAATTTTTAAAAAAGGAAATAAGTTATTTTTCCCATTAGATTTGTAATGTTATGTTTACTAAAATATATATATATATAAATTGGAAATAGAAAACAAATGAAAAAAACATTGCCCAGTCTCTTCTGAGGAAAATTGCCAAAGAGAGATGAACCACACTATAAAATAACCCTTATGGGCTCTCGGGCATTTTTATCATTCCTTATTCCACTCAAATGAGCTTGAAATGCTTGGCAAATGTTTTAAATGAAAAACAGGTTAATGACTCAGAGTGTCAAGTTTCTTGGATTAGGTGGTGGCAAAGGAGAAGTATAGAAGGAAGAAATAATTATTTCTTTCCCATATAAGTACAAATAATTAACAAGAATTTAGCTCCTTTTTAAAAAAATATATTATTGATTTTTTTATAGAGAGGAAAGGAGAGCTAGAAACATCTTCAATCAGCTGCCTCCTGCACACCTCCCACTGGGGATGTACCCACAACCAATGCCCGGAATCAAACCTGGGACCCTTCAGTCCGCAGGCTGACGCTGTATCCACTGAGCCACACCGTTTTTAGCATGAATTTAGCTCCTTTTAAGATAGATCAGTGACAATTTTAATTTTATTCTTAGGACAGTCTTTTTTTTGTTTTGTTTTTTAAGGATCCTGTGAAAGGGTGAAAGGATGAAGGTGTCTTTTTATTAACTCAATGTCTTTAAAAGTATCCAGAGATATTGTAAGATTAACATGAAAAAGGTTCTATATTTCAGAAGTAATTCTAAATTATACATCTTATTTTTTGTGATAATAAAATTATTTATTTATATTAGTGAACACACTGGTTTTACATGTATAACAAAAAAAGTTGAAGAAGATAAGTAAAGAAAAATTTATTTTTCCTAAATGAAATAAATAATTGATCACATTTTTTTGTCTCATGTAGTATTTGAAACTTACTTTCTAAAATATAAATAATTTATCTCTAAATAACACATTCCCTTTCTGCCTCCCATAAGTAGTTCACAAAGATATTCTTTTGGTTATCCCAAATGTTTGGTGAAACATTTGTGGTTACTTTTAAATTATACTATATTGTACTTTCTTAAGCATGTCATAATCCTCTCAGAGTATTATACCACTTGTTACTGATTTACCTAACGGCAATCACATTAATTTCTAGCTTTTTAATGTATTCTTGTCATCTTACATTTTAAGTTATAGACTAGCATATGCACATAACTAAATTTAACAATAATTATCTGTCACATTACATCATCTGCTTTGTTGTTGAAGTATTTTAAACTAACTTCCATATGCACCATGGCATTTCACTGTAAATACTTCAATATGTTTCTAACAATACGGATTTTTTTTTTTTTTTTACTTAACCACAATCAGTACAAGTAACAAGACTTAATAATTTGCTAATAGTTTCTAATATTTGGTAATTCATTTAACTCTCCTAAAAGTACCGTGAATAGGTACATATCCACCTACTAATTCATTTGTTTGTTAACTAGGAGGGCCTGCTCTACCTACTCTGTGACAATCTGGTAGTAGCAAGGACACTGATTCAGTTATTCAGGAACATACCTGTGCACCTACTATGTGCAAATTACCATGTGCTACTGGCTGGCATTACCAAGATGACAATGACAGTGTCTGTACTCAAGTTGCTTATTTTCTACCACAGAAAGACCAAAATTATATACCTACTGAGAGAAAGAATGTGGAGTTATAAGTGTTACAGTAGTCACCTGTGCAGAGTACAGAAGATGCCTGGCTGCCTTTGCTAAGTGGATGAATGTTGGGCAGGGACAGGGTGTGAACTAAGAAAGGACAAGTAGAGGAGGGTCACGTGGCAGGATTGGCGGCTGCAAAGGGCATCACATGCTCCAGGTAGAAAAGGCTTGGAGAGAGCACTACAGTGTGTCATTTGCTTAGCGTGGAAATAAGAATTATAAATATTTTACTGCACCTTGATCAAATTAAAAGTTAGAAACAATGGACACAGGTTTATAATAGCAGGAATTTTAAATATTAGGAAATACAATATTGAACTTTGACAATACAGTACATTGAGTTAATCTTTATATTTTAATATCACATAGGTAAGAGTAAAAGCTAAAAAATATGTAACAGTTTTCTAAAAATAATAATAATGGGGCTTTCTTATATGGTTTATAATTACTTTGTATACTGTTACCATGAAGTTGAATAATATTTTCCCAAGGTAAGTTTTATAAAGGGTGCAAAGATTATATCTTATCTTTATACTTGAGACCAATGCTTACTTGTTGTAAAAAATTATACTTGCTTAAGCATAGAAATCTATGTTTTATGTTATTTAACTCCCTATGTTATGGCATTTAGAAATGGGGCCAGTGGGAAATAATAAAGGTTAGATGAGCTCACAAGGTTGGGGCCCTGGTGATGGGATTAGTGCCCTTACAAGAAGAGACACCAGACAGCACTGTCTCTCTCTC